CAGCCAAGACTGGAAACTGAGCTGACATTACAATTACTGGTCATGGAAGGCAGGGTAGGACCTGTAGTCTGAACCTAACTAGGATGACTGCTTATTTAAAACAAAACAAAATTCTCCAGTGGATTATGTAACAGAAGGATTATATAACAGTACTCATTCACAGTGTCCAAGATGCAATAATAAATTACTTAACATACAAGACAAGACAAACAAAACATACCCAGAAAAATGTGACTCACTGACAAGGGCAAAGATAATTAACAGATGTCAACCCTGAGATAATTTATATTTTGGGACTTAACAACTATTTTAAAGCAGCTACTATAACTATATGCTCTGGTGGCATAGTGCCTAAGGCATCTGACTGTTAACCAAAAGGTTGGTGGTTCAAACCCACCAGCCACTCTGCAGAAGGAAGATCAGGCAATCTACTTCTGTAAAGATTTACCACCTCGGAAACCCAAAAGGGGTCACTATGAGTCGGAATCAACTCTATGGCAGTGAGTTTGGTTTGGTTTTTCAAAGGTAAGATGGAGTGGAAAGAATGATGTTTTCAGCAGAGAAATAGATATTATAAAAAAGAACTGAATGATAAAATCTAGAACCAAAAATACCAAATCTAAAAGAAACTCACTGGATGGGCTCAATAGCAGAATAACAACAGAGGAAAGAGTCAGTGAAAGTAAAATGAAATCAACAGAAATGTATCCAATCTGAGAATAGGAAGAAAATTAAGTTGGACACAAAAATGCACACAGTCTAAATGAGCCATGGGATAATATCAAAAGATCAACCATTCATGTCATCAGAGTCCCAGGAGGTGAGGGAAAGAGATTAATGCAGAAAAACATTTGAAGAAATAATGGTTTAAAACATTCCAAATTTGGTGGAAGATATAAATTTACAAATTCTAGAAACTCACTGAAATCCTCAAAAACAAAATGGTCTACTTCCTGCAAACTCTGTCTTAACCCTTTCAAGTTTCTCATAAAATCTTCTAAGCTATTAATTATTTTTGCTTTCACTGAACAAATACATACATTTATAATTAAAGACACCTGATTATAAGCAGCACCACTGTTTTATGTAACATCAAAAAACACTGCCAATTAATTTTGAGATGCCAAAGATTAAAACGTCCCAGTATCATTTAAACATTTAAAAAAAAAAAAAAAAAGTTTAACAAGTACCTCTTAGAATAAGTAACATGCATCTGGTGTTAAGCCCATGGTAAGTACCAGGCACAGTGTAAACAGAATAGACCCAAGCACTAAGTCCTAACATCTAATGTGCAACCCTGGTCCTGTAACATCACTCATTTCTCTTCCTGGTCTCAGAACGAAAAGACCAAAAAATGTGTTTAGCAAAAACTCTTTGATCCATTGTGATGTAACTGTTGAGCCAGAAACCCCAGCTCTCTCTCTCCCCCAACTGTCCAACAGGAAAGGCACAAGCTAACACTAACCCACTCTCCATCCTGCTCATTCTCATATTCCTCACCAGAGTCCAATTACCTTGTTTTTTTTCTGGAAAGGGTGACAGATTAGGTTATATAAATATATAATTTCTTTCTTTCTTTTAAACAGGAGCTCTGGTGTATAGTGGTTAAGGCATCCGGCTGCTAACCAAAAAGATCGGTGGTTCAAATCCACCACCTGCTCTGCAGAAGAAAGATGGGGCAGTCCACTTCCGTAAAGATTTACAGCCTTAGAAACCCAAAGTGGGTCGCTATGAGCTGGAATCAGCTTGATGGCAGTGAGTCTGGGTTTTGAGTTTTCACACATACACACACACAAAACTCCTTGCAAAATTCTACCCACGTTTGCAAACTACTCAAGCTGATTTCTTTACTTTAATGAAAAATTTGTTTTTGTCTTAACCTGGGACAGTTTTATGTATCTCTAGAGTCCATTTCATTCTCAAGTTATTTATAAAGTACTAACTGAGAGGATAACAGTGGGAATTAAGTTTTGTTAAATAAAAGAGGGAGATTCCAGGTTTTTTTAAAACTTGCATCAGCCACTAAGGGACAGCCAAGGACATAGTTCATTTCAGAGTTCTCTTCCTAACAACTGACCCCTACTCTTATTTTTTGAAATAAAACAATCTGTCTAAGCTGGGCATGCATCTCTAAAGCAATCTTACAGGTATTAAGCCTTTGGGGGAAAGTAAGACTTCCTTCCACTATATTTAAATGTCTCAACTCCTCATACTTTCCTTTTTCCAGATGTATAATTTTTATTTTGAAAAGCAGAATAACACCTGTGTTTCTAATACGTATTGCTAACAGTGCTATTTTGATTCATAAAGAGTGACCTCATCCATGAGGCTGGCTGTTATTTTCCAGCAGTGGTCAAACAGCTGGCACACAGCCCCAGGACAGGCTCTGATAAATGCCACTCTCGACATCATGACCCTCCCCCAACTAGTCTGCTCTTCTCATCCATAGAGACAGAGGGTTAAAAAGAAAAAATAAAAAAATAAAAAAATAACCTAATGTAGATTTACTAATAAAATGGGCTTAACGTAGTCATATCTGGACTTCAAAATGACCAGAGAAGGAAACCAAAGTCTCAGAACAAACTAGTCTACAGAGCTAACACAGCCTACAAAAAGCCACAGCCTCATGTACCCTGAGACCAGAAGAACTAGATGGTGCCCGATTACCATTACTGACTATTCTGATCGGGGCCACAGTAGAGGGACCCTGACAGAAGGGGGAAAAATCACGGAAAAGAACTCATATTCTTCAAAAGTCCAGACTTAATGGACTGATTGAGACCAGAGGCCTCCCTGAGACTTCTGCTCTAAGATGCTCTTTAAACCTTCAACTGACACTATCCCGAGATCACCTTTTAATGAACAGCACACAGAATAAAGGATAGTACCCCCTAAGTATGCTCCACTAAAAAACACCTACAAGAGACCAAAGGGTCAACAATGACTCTGAAGCAAAGATGAGAGGTAACTAGGCAGGGAGAACTACGGCACTGGCAGCAGAACCAGCAAACACAAAGAGGAGCTGGACACACTGTGGGAGACCTAACGAATGCCACTGAACAGTCTGTAAGGAAACTGTCCAACAGGAAACTGACTGACCATGTCATCTTTCACCACAAGCACAATCAAACATTATTTAAAAAAAAAAAAAAAAAAAAAAACCAGGGGGCCCTCGAACAGCAGGCCTTCCGCAGCTTTTCTGGCACTGGCTGCATACTGAGGCGCTGCTCCAGAGGAAGGAGACTGCGTTACTGAGTGTGCCTCAGTCTCCTAGGCGATGATGTAATGTACAGCTGACAGTGTCACCATGGTCTGCCTGAACACTGGTCTTCCAGAGCTCACTGGCTATGTGATAGAGAAGGCAGAGCCCTCTTCCCTTCAACACCACTGGCCTTCCTGTGAGCATAGCTGTGCCTGAACCCCTAAATGCTCGTGCTGCAAATGAGCTCTGACACACAACCCGCAATCCCGAGCCTCCGGATGCCCCAGAGACCCTCTGCATTTATGGCTGAATGCAAGGTGGGAAGAGCTGTGGCAGGAGCCCTGAAGGCTATGAGCACCACGAAGAATCAGCATACACAGTGAGGCTGAGTGGTGAGGCCTCCACGGAAGCGGCCTGGTACTGCAAAAGGCTGCTGCTTGTCGGACCTACCTCCTGTCCACGTTGCCACTGATCATGAGACTGGGAGGACAGTCTCGGAGGTTGATTCCAGCCCTCCTGGAAATGAGTGGCTGCGGGGTCCCTGTGGGGAGAGTCTATCGGAGAAGCCTGGATCTTTCCATAGCTCGGTCTTGAAAACTCAAACGTAAGCATCAAACCCTAAGTTGGTTACTTTCATTTGGTGTGCCAATGCAGAGTCCAGTTATCAAGCCTAGTTTTTTCGTTTTTTTCTTTTAAGAGGAAAACCACCTGGACGTGCACCGAAGAGTTCAATACTCAGGCACCAAGATATATACCATTTTAGGAGCCTTGAGGGGGGGAAAAATGGAGTATTTTCTGTAAAGTGTATTCACATTATCTTTTTGGTCTAAGCAGGGAGAGCAGCTAGAGAGGTGGAGGTCGAGAATTGAAAATATTATTTGACAAAATAATTATTTTTGCAAGCTGCCGCACTGGCGGGACACAGGTCTGGGATTTGGCACAGGGGAGTACCCGCCTTACAATCTGATACCCACCACCGAGCAGACCACCACCTGCAGCCTGGGGCTGGGCACAGGGGAGGGGGTGCCGGCAGAGCCTGGCTTCCAGCCACACTACCTCTCCTTGGGGCACTGGATCAGACACAGCAGATAACCAGCCAAAGGAAAAGACAAGGGGGAGAGGGGACGGGGAGGGGAGAAAACCTAAAATTTGGACTCAGAGGGTCTTTTTCAAACACTTTAATCCTTTCATTCTGATGATTCCTGGAGCGTCCATGGCTGGCACTGGAGCCTGTACCGGGAAAATCCGACTCCCGAAGCCAATGCGTTAAAGAGAAGAGTGCTAATCAGCTAAGTAGAAACTGGAATCTGTTCCCATGCACTCTTTTTTCCTCTTCACCAGAGGGACACCACAGTGTTCTGAAATACCCTCCTGACATCATTTGCCAGGCAACCCTATTTTGCTTAACATGATTCATCCCTTAGGTTATTGTTTTTAATATTAGAAAGTGAGCTTTTCAATGCCAAACAAATTTTGCAGCAGGAGGACAAAAAATATTCCAAGTGGTCTCAATGGACCTTCCAACGCGTCCACCAAATGACCTTAAAAGAATACCTTCCCGTGGTGCTTCAGAAATGAGGCAGATATCTAGCTACGTCCAAATATTACCAATACAAGACTTTGTTTTCTGAGTCTACAAAGACAGCATTTATGGCTGAATGCAAGGTGGGCAGAGCTGTGGCAGGAGCCCTGAAGGCTATGAGCATCACGAAGAATCAGCATACACAGTGAGGCTGAGCGGTGAGGCCGCCACGGAAGCGGCCTGGTGCTGCAAAAGGCTGCTGCTTGTCGGACCTACCTCCTGTCCATGTTGCCACTGACCATGAGACTGGGAGGACTGTCTCGGAGGTTGACACACGTGAAGTCACCAAGCGCATTCCCCAGCTTCGAGATGCAGCGTTCTGCTTCCAGGTTGCACACCAAGATCTGGTGGAGGAAGAAAAATACGAGGGCATACAATTACATGCACCAGGACTGCACCCGATGATGCCTCATCTCAGCAGAGGCGGGGCATGGTCGCGACCATTCAGCTCTTGTTAAAGGCCTGTGACAGGTCAATCTCCTAACTGTTGCCAGGTTAACAGTAGTATAGGGACATGGCTGTACCATACGACAAAAGGAAAATGCAGCCAAAGTATTCCTCAGGCCGTGGTGCAAACTCAGAGGAGACAAGAAAGAAGAATGCAAAATCGGGAAATTAGTAACTTCACACAGTAGAAGAAGCCTGGACACTAAGGGCCATGGGCTGATTCTGACTTGAAATTCACTGCAAAACAACCAGGTGACTTGCAGATGAACCACTCTGGGTTCTCCTTCTCTACTGTTTACACCGCAGAAGGTAAAACAAAAAAGTGAAAATTTAAAAAGGCAGTACAAGTACCCAGGAGGTGAAAAGGTGGCTTGCATAGTTAACCATTCAATGATTCCTTTAGACTAAACTACAAACCAAAACACAAACTCTTACTTCCAAACATTCCTCTTCAGTCACTGTCCACTTGCTAACTTTAGAAAGTTCTGCTCCATAGGTATGAAACCAAGTAAGAATGGGACCTTTGATCTCTAGACAGTGTAGCATTACATCAGAACACTTTTGTAGTACCAGCTCTCCAGCAAAGATTCCAAACAGCAACAATAAAGCCTGATTCAGGAGGAGATCATTTAAGTTCTATATTAAAAATCTTAGTAATTAAATTCAGTTTACATTATACTGAATACTCGCTGTGGTCAGTCACTGTTGTAGGGGCTGAGGATACAATCTCTGCCTCCAAATTCACAATTCAAAAGCCTCCTGATTAAAACACACACGTTCTAAGCATGCACTGCATTCTATTGATCATGTGGTTAATATTTTTAATCAATGAACTCAAAATTTTTAACATTAATATTTTATATACACATTGCCTCCTCTCTCGGCACACACATCACAAGGGTATGCTTTCTTTTTCTTGTTAACCCATACACTTATCAATCATCAGTGCACAGATGGTTCTCGGTGTCAGGAAGTTCCAAATGGTCTCCACCTTGAGAACCATCACACGGTCAGCACAGACTTCCAACAAGTGACTCTCTGGAAACAGCTAATAGCAAAAACGTCACTATAATAATAGTTAGCTATTTTCCAAGAAAGAGGAACATTTCAAAATTAGCAATGCCTTCTTGGTCCATAAAGAGTACAGAGAACAAGCTAAGATGAGCTGGAAAGTTTCTGCCTCAGGAAATTTCAACAGTTTTAAGATATCCAAAATAAAATTATTCTAAACGAGAACACAGAAATAATCCAATATTCCATCTACACTTAATAACCTAATTGCATAAAACCAGTTTCTGGGGGGAGAAAAAGCTATCTCATGGTCTATCATCAGCGAACAGTCTGTACCTCCATATCAGCAGAGAGCCTTCAGTAGGGTTCTTGGGCTCCGTATTTTCTCATTTACAAAATACTGCAACGTCTATAGCAGGAAAGCAGGTCTATATAATCAGTAAAATGCCCATAGCAACTCTAACAACTGAAATCTGATACTGACTCAGCTTCTTAGAAGTTTTTTTGACAGGGAGACGATGACTCGTTTCTGAGTGACAGAATGAGATCCAAACCCTTGCCAAGACAGACTTTACCAATTCATCATAAAGACATCTGAGTCAGTGGTCACGAGCCAAGTATGTCCTAGAATGTTTAATAATTCAATGAATCAGAACTATCCAAAGAGCACCTTTACCATGACGGTTAGTTAAAGACCACAGAGAGTAGAAAACACATTACCCAGCTCCGAGGCGGTGCTTTCCACGTTACAAGTCCCTTAACGACCTTTACCATTTTCCCCCCACCTCCCACCCCTGCCACTCTCTCTCTTTTAATAAGGTTGAGCAAATGGGACTTCATTTTATCTGATTGCCACAGACTAGTGAGATTAATTATTCATGCTCCCACTCTCCCTCTTGTTAAGACCATGCATTAGACTAATTTTTCTCTTTATTGCTCTAGTTGGGTGGGTCTTAATCCATGGCCACTTGACTCACTCACAGAGGTGAACAGATACGCTGGAAAGAAGGAAAAAACTACCCGTAGCTAAAATCTTGGAGAAAATGTTCAGCACTAATGTGACCGCCAGATCAATAGATGTTATTGAAATTTGCTCTTTAAGGACTAAGTGTGTGTTACAAAAGATGTTAAATAGTGAACACAGAGCAAACTTTTACAGGAGTCAGATGTTTCCAAATCATCTAAACCACCACCACCCGTTAAGACTGCCACACATTTTGCAAAGATGACTTCAAGGAGTGTGCAGTGTGTAGTCACAATACACTGGGTGAGTGTAATTTCTCACTGGCTTCCAGATAGATCGCGAGGGCACTATGTAGAAGCAAGAATGATCTTTCAAAAGAACATCGGCAAAAAGTTGGTTTGTTTTTTTTTTCTTTGTGATCTTAAGGTATTTCCAAAAATCCTATTCTTAGAATTTTAACTTTCAGTTTTGCAAGTATTCAGACTTCTTTGACATCGCTCTTTAATTTCTACAAAATCTTTTTTCTGATTTCTAACAGTATATTCTTATAAAACATTCCACCATAACAGAATTACATAGCAAAGAAAGTGGTGGTGGTGGTTGTTACCATCAAGTTGGACCCGACTCATGGCGACCCCTCTTTGGGTTTCCAAGGCAGTATCACTACGGAAGTAGACTGCCCAACCTGCCTTCCTCTGTACATTCCTCTCTGAGATAACCACTTTAACAGTTTGGTGTATATTCTTCCAGAACTTTGCTACCCATGTCTGCGCGCGCGTGTGTGTGTGTGTAAAACCTTCCTGTTCCTGAATGGGATTAATGATCTGAAACTTGTTTTTCCCACGGAATAACATGTCTTGAGAATTATTCTCTTGTCGGTACCTGCAGATATCTCTGGGTCCTTATTTTTGTTTGTTTTAGGTCTTGTTTTTTTTTTTTAATGGCTGCATACAATTTCTCTATGGATATAGACTTCCATATGGGTGAATATTTGGTAGTTTCTTATTTTTTTACATTAAAGAATTAATGCTGTTGTCCATTCCACAGCCAGGTGACAAATATTTATTAGTCATTTTGTATGCACTTGGCACAGGAATGACTGGGATGGCGGTGACGTTCAGAAGCCTCAGCCTGCTGGCAGCTGCAACAGCCCACCCCTTCCCTGGATGGTACATGGCCACCAGCTGTCCTGCTCCTCTGCCCACAGGACTTGCTCTCCGAGGACACTCACCACCCCATCTTACAGCCATAGCCTGGCAGCTGGTGCCTTAAAGAGTCAGAGAGAGCTGTACAGCTTCAAGGAGGTGGCAGCAGCCACAGGCCCAACATCAGGGAAGCATCAGCAACCTCCCTTGTGCAGGTGGGCAGGCCCTGTATCCTCCAGGTGTGACTGGGGCCTTTAGTGTGCCCAGGAAAACCATGGTTTCACTCAACAAAACCGTGAAGGAAAAAGCTGAGAAATGGCTGTTGTCCCTATAACTGGGTGAGCTCAAGACAGGCGCACCTTCCTTTCACCCAATCAGAACTGGATTTAGCACTGTAAACCTCTCCTAACTCTAGAATGGACACACCCTCCCAATTCAACATGAACAGGTGGGATACACACATCACTGTGAAGAGCTAACAGAGCCCCGAAGGCCCAGAACTGTGGTCATGCACTCGATGAAGGAGGAAAGGAACTCCATACGTGTTGTCTTGGCTTCATTTATGCCATGATGCCTCCTCATCCTCACATATGAAGCCAACAACAACCCAAGCCGCTGGCTCTCCTCCGCACAGCACCAACAGTGCCTTTCCAAAGGGGTCAAATGGGCAGTCAGAGGCTTCCTTACAAGAGCAGAGCATCTGAAAGGGGTTTGTGGACTAATAGACCTTGCAAACCTCTGCCTCCATGGCCCTGAGACCCTCACAACTAGACGGTGCCCAGCTACCCCTGCTGATCACTCTGATCAGAATCGTAACAGGGGGTCCCGGACAGAGTGGAGACAGACGTGTAACAAAATTCAAAATCCCAAATCCGACTCAGTAGTCTGACAGAGACCACTGGAGCCTCCAATACTATGGCCCTTAGACACCCTTCAAACCTAGAACTGAACCTACCCCAGGGATCACTTTTCAGCCAAACAGTACACAGACCTATAAAATGAACAATAAAACACCAGGGAAGAACATACTCTTCAGAGACCAGAAGGGAAGTATTTGCCCAAAAATAACTCCTAGAAGGCACAAAGGGGCAGGAAAGGAGGAGGAATGGAAACTGAGAATCTAGGGAGGAAGTGGGAAGAGTGCTGTTACATTGAGGGATTGCAACTACTATCACGAAACAAAATCTGTATAAATTATTGAACGGAAAACTAATTTTCTCTGTAAACTTTCACCCAAAGTGCAATAAAATAAACAAGTAAAAATAAATCGAAGAATAATCATAATTAAAAAAAAAAAAAACTATCCTTGTTTTCTGACTTTGAAATGGATAGGCATCCAGAAGAAGAAATAAGCCATTCATTGTTCAGAAACTGCCTTTGTGAAGCCACGACTGTTTGCTGCTGCAATTTTAACAGACGGAAGAAACAAGGGGAGCACAGGGTTAGGAGACGTTTTCCTCGACAGAAGCAGACTCAAAGACAACAGGCATGGGGAGGAAGGTGTGGGTGAGATCCTTGCAGATGGCTACGTCTATCTACTTTCTTATGGACCCCCAACCTTCCCCCCACCATGGTTACCACATGCAGTATGCTCTCCTGAGGAAGGAAACGGCCTACAAAGCTACATAGCCACCCTGCAGAGAGCAGAGCAAGCAGCCCTCACGCTTTCTGCTCCTCCATCCCAGTCAAGCCCAGGCTGTGCTATCTTCTCCATGAAGCCTGCAGCACACAGTCCATTCCCTCTCATTGCTGAACATCTACTGTCTACACACTTCAC